TCCCAGGAGCCTGGGATCAAGCCCCTCATCGGGCTCTCTGCTTGGCGGGGAGCCTGCTTCCCTTCCTCTCTCGCTGCCTGCCTCTCTGCCTGCTCATGATCTCTGTCTGTCAAATAAATAAATAAAATCTTAAAAAAAAAAAGATGCTTAGAAAAGAGGTTTTGACAAGTAAATTTGAAGAAATAAAAGGAGCAGAAGGTTGTCACCCTTGTTCTTGTGTGGATTACTCAAAATCTGTACTCTTTTCAAGTTCACATTTTGAGGCTTTCAGGTTTTTTCTCTTTCTCCCCCCCCCTTTTTTTCTGTCATTAAAACTCAAAATCCATGGGAAAAATTTATGTGTAGAGAATGTTTGAATGTAATGACATCTTGTTTTGCTTTAGAACAATCCTGGTGGAAAAACATATCTCTGACTCTAACAAAAAATAAAATGGCAAACACTAGGTCCAGCTTTTCCTCCCTCTGTTCTGCCAACCTATTAAGTCCAAGGCAAATTATAAGAATAATAACTTATATTTTCTCTGACCACTTCTGTGGTTTATGATGTAAATATGCAAGTTACATAACTAAAGTAAAAATTATGAGACTCAATTACTACTTGTAACAAGGGATATAAGAAAAACATTTTTATTTAGGATTTTTTGTTCTTTTCTCCAGATATAGATGAATCTCTGGTTCTGTTACTTAACTCTTTAATTTCAGAAAGTATAAAAATGGCAATATTTTAGAAAATGATAATTTAAGAAACATGAAAATATCAAAACTCAAACGAACTGTTTTTCTTTCTCATAGTTTTACTGCAATTATAACTTTTAAAATATCAGTGCATTTGGCAACACCAGAAGGATGTGAAGAAATGGTTCAGTACAATATCAAAGATCTTGTTTGATGAAAGTTAATAATTGATAGCCTTAAAGTTGAAACGGGATACCTATTTTTTTCCTATGTGTTAAATCTGTTTTTCATTTTAAAAATACAAAGGCTTTGGCAGAGATGAATTTAGGAAGGTAAGTTTCAAGTGTGATAGCAGTGCATTTTAATTAAGGAGGGGAAATGTTGCTAATTTAAAAATAAAAAAAAATTTTTAAATAATATTTTTATAAACATATAATGTATTATTAGCCCCAGGGGTACTGGTCTGTGAATTGCCAGGTTTACACACTTCACAGGCTAATTTAAATTTTTAACGGGCCATTATTTGTGTGGTTTAAAAGTTTGGCATTACAACTATGTTTATTTCCTTTTACATTCTTTGTTTTTTAACAGATTTTTGGAGGTGAGGATATGAGATTAAGGAAATGGATGTGTTGTTTTAAACTAAAGTAAATGTATTTTATGTACGTTTAAATATAGTAAGCAGGAATCTTTGAAACCTTAATTTATATATCTTTATCCTACCAACATCTGAATCTGTACTGTCCAGTTGGTAGCCATAAGCCAGATGTGGCAGTTGAGCACCTGAAATGTGGCTGGTCTGAATTGTTATGTGCTAGAAAAGTAAAATGTATACCAGATTTTGAAGAGTTGATGTGAGAAAAAGAATATCTTGTTAATTAAATTTTTATTACATGATAAAATGGTATTTTGGCTATATTTGGTAAAATTATTAAAATTAACTGCACTTTTTTTTATACTTTATATGTGGCTTATAGAACATTTAAACTGATAGAAGGGGCTTGCAGTACATTTCTGTTGGGCAGGGCTGATCTAGATGATCTAACTTTCATCTTATGTTTATAATTTTACTACTAAAGCATTATTTTGTTTTCCAGAGGATACTCTCTATAACACAACCAAGAATATTAAGAAATTAAAAAGCTTGGAAGCAAAATCGATCTTTCCAAGTCTCTCTGTTAAAAAGTTCATATATTTTCAATCATAGGAGAGGCCTTTAAGATCTTCACACAAATTCTTTATTCTTTTCTTTTCATTGAGGATTGTTTTGCATTTTGTATCGGTTGTCTGATTTCTTAAGGAATTTGATGATGTAATTAAGAGAATTTATTGAACTACATTTTCTGTTGCAGCTATCTTAGCTTCACATGGTGTTCTTAAATTAAGATATCTCAGAAGTTAAATCCGCTATGCTTGTCTGTCTGTAATGTCTACATAAAAGTAATCCCCAAACCATCAATTTCTGGTCAGGATATTTGGGAGGGAGGTACAAGTCTCCAGTGTTTGCCTTCTCTGAGACCTCATCTACAAGAAACAGAAGCAAAAGAAAACCCTCATGCTTTCAGAACTAGAGAGATCCCTGTCCTGTAGGCACCCCACTGAGAGTTGTCTCTGAATTGTTTCCTGTGCTAATTCCTTGTGCTTTCTCTTAATTCTCCCCTTTTTGTTTTTCTTCCTCTGAGACTTGAATTTGTGCTTGATGATGTTGATGTGAAAGGGTATGACTACCCTGTGAGTCAGGCAAGTATTTTGTTGCTGCTGATCTGCTGTTCTTTTAGCTTGCTAGTTGCTGTTTTTCTTCCAGTACATTCATATCCTGTTTCTTTGATGTAACATTACAAGAGATATTTGAATCCCATGTTTGGAAAGCTGATTCCCTGCAGTAAGTGCCAGTGTATTTAGCTTTCCAAGTGTTTTTCTTATATAGCAATTTTTTACCTTAGCTTTTCTTAGATCTTTCCTTGGGTCTTTGTAAATTATCTTAGCAGTTTACACATTTCCAAATGGTATGATGACCTGTTGCTGTTGTATCCTGATCTTTTAGTTCTGGTATCCATAGGAAAGTATTATGCTGAGTAAAAAAGGGAATTAACAAAGTTTACTATCAACTCTTCACAAGTGGAGTACTTCCCCATTGTCTGTGGAGGATACATTTCCAAGAATGGCAGTGGATGTCTGCAACCGCAGATAGTACCGAACTATGTATATACTGTTTTTTCTATACATACGTACCTGTGATGAAGTTTAATTTATAAATTGGGCACAGTAAGAGACTAGCAACAATAACTAATACAATAGAACAATTACAGCAATATAGTGTAATAAAAGTTGTGTGAATAAGGTTTCCCTCAAAATATCTTAATGTACTATTCTCTTGTGGTGCTGTGAGATGCTAAGATGCCTACCGAGGAAGTGAGGTGAGTGACCTAGGCATTGTGACATAGCATTAGGTCAGTGTTGACCTTCTGACCATATGTCAGAAGGAGAATCATCTGCTAATGAACGCTAGTTGATTGTGGGTAACTGAAACTGCAGGAAAGTGAAGCTGCGGATAAAGGCGGGGGGTGGGACCCTACAGTAATTGCCAGATTTCCATTTGTGGCTGCACCTCTCTTCTCAGATTCACACTTGTCTTTTCCATTGCTGTGCTTCTTACCTATACTGATGTCCCCCAAGTACTTCATACTCTCAAATACCCAAAAGAGAACCCATTGTTTTCCTTCTCCTCTACTGTATTTTTCAGTCATAGTGTTATTGTGAGAGGCGTTTTCTTTGATGTTCATCAAGTGTACACTGCCACACACAAGCTACTCCATATGCCCATCATGAAGTACACACTCTGCGGTTTTCCTTAGATAGGTGACCCCTGGTAAGGATAAGGTTCAGTTTTCAGTAGCAAAGATATGGTGAAGTAATCTGCCCCCAAAAATAAAACTCTGTGTTGGCATATTCCCTTGTTCTCAGTTTAGTCACGAGTTCTGTACATTAGGAACTGGAAATGCTTTTTCTCTGCCAAGTCTTCTAAGCTTCTGGAAGCAGCCAAACCTAGTCTTTCTCTATCTTTGATGCTACTTGAAGTGAAGTCTAACTGAAAATTAGCTTTAGCACCCCCATATCAGATAATGTGAGGCTATAGCCATTTTGAATGCTGTCCTTAGAGCTGGAGCTACTTTAACAAAAACTTGGAGTTGCTTACTTAGACTGAGGGTTATGTATTCTCCAGGCAGTTAAGATCCAACCTCTGATGTCTTAGTCTGGCAGCATTCTGAGAGATGAATAGATTTGGGCTTGTGAATTACTGTATAGCAGTGGCAGGTTAAAAAATGTCAGGAGGCCACGCAGACCTGTGGATAATGCCTTTGATTGTAGCATACAATATTCCTGCTGGGCTGGTATTCTTTTCCCTGAATCTGATAAATTTCTTCTTATATTAGTCATATGGAAATTACGATGGGATGGAAAGGTAGTGTCTTTTTTTGCAATAAATCTGTGCAAGGCCGTGAACCCACTTGCTCTGGAAAGAGGAAAGCAAGTACATTTTGAATAGACTTCTCAGTAGTCCAAGGGCCTATGAGTAATGCAGTATTACCATTTTTCTAGTTGCTGGCCTGAAGTCTTTGGAAATTGTTGACATTTTCAGGTAGTACACACCCTCTGCTACCATGTCAGAATATTTCAGTTATATTGAAACTACGTGGCAACCAGCTTAGGAGTCTTCCTGAGTTGTTTCATCACTGTATTTAGCAAAAAGGAATAAAAATACTTGATTCTAACTACACATTCTATAAAGTCTACATTTTCTTTCTTTTCTTTCCCCCCCCCAAGATTTTATTTATTTGAGAGAGAGAGACAGAGCATGAGCAGTGAGGAAGAGGCTGAGGTAGAGGGAGAAGTAGACTCCCACTGAGCAGGGAGCCTGATGTGGGGCTTAATCCCAGAACCCTAAGATTTTGACCTGAGCTGAAGGCAGACGCTTAACCAACTGAGCCACCCAGGTGCCCTACGTCTACATTTTCTTAATGAATGTGTAAATTCTTTTCCTGTGTATCATGACTTGGAAGTCTTACGTCCTTCTTCTCCCTACCTTGCTGCCTCACCCCAGCTCTCTCTCTCTGTCTCTCAAATAAATAAATAGTCTTTAAATTTTTTTTGAAATTGCTATGCTTAGATGAAAAAAAAAATAGCAGTAATTTTATTGATGCCAGATATTATTGAAATTATGCATATTCTAAAACCATGGCTATAGTGAAGCTCTAAGTATCATCATTGCTTCATCTAGTGTCACTGTGAAATTAGATCTTGAGCAGTTTTTAATTATGTTTTAGATTATTAGAGACGGATAGTAAGTCTTTAAGATCTGTAAATGGGTCAAGAAGAAACAGTGGCTCCTCCCTTGTATCAAGTTCATCAGCCTCTAGCAACCTCAGCCACCTCGAAGAAGATTCTTGGATTCTTTGGGGAAGAATTGTTAATGAATGGGAAGATGTACGCAAAAAGAAGGAAAAGCAAGTTAAGGTATTCATATTCCTTGTTGAAGTTCTTCCTCTTATTCCAAAGGGGCATGATGGCATGGATTAATAGAAGATTTAAAAAAAATCAGATTCTAGTACTTTGCAAGTGCTGTAATAAAGAGCTCTACTTTATATGTTTTCATATTAAAGTTTTAACTTACAGATATCAGTTTTTATGGATGCCTCCTAATGGTAGAAATATATAACTGAAAATTATTTTGGAGATTAAATCCTCGCATTTTATACATTCAGGAATGAAGTTGTACCATCTGATATCTTTGAATTATTGGTATTTTACTTTTTTTTGCCTAAAACACCTCTTTGAAAGGTAATGGTTACTGTGCTTTCATTCACAGCTCTGCAGATTATCAGTTACTTCCTTAATAGCTTTAGAGGCCATACTTTGGGAGAAATGTCAAGAATTTATCCATGGGATGGTAGCTCTCTGACCAGAATAGGACACACCCAAGGGCCAAGTCTTAGCCTTGGGTAAAAGGTTCCTTAGTCTTAAGAGTAGCTTTGTGAATTATAAATTTGATAAAGTGTTCCACCCCATTCCAACCCCCCATAAATCTTCTTTGGCTTTTAAGGTAGGAGACTTAAATGGTTCATTTAAAAATTTTTATTTTACTTTTTTATTTTTAGGAGCTTGTTCGTAAAGGGATACCCCACCACTTTAGAGCAATAGTTTGGCAACTTTTGTGCAGTGCACAAAGTATGCCAATTAAGGATCAGTATTCAGAACTCCTGAAAATGACCTCACCGTGTGAAAAATTGATCAGAAGGGACATTGCTAGAACTTATCCTGAACACAACTTTTTTAAGGAAAAAGATAGCCTTGGACAGGAGGTTTTATTTAATGTAATGAAGGTAAGTTCTATTTATTCATTTTTTGAAATGAATTCTCAGAAGATTGAAATTATACATATAATCAAGCATGAACCTTCAGCACAATAATGAGTTTCTTTTGCAAAAATTTGTTGTTAGCCTAATTTTTGCTTTATTTTTGATGCTACATTACTGTCTAGTTTGGAGAACTTAGGAAATCCATCACTTTACTTAGTACTAGTTGGTTGAAATCAAATAACCTGGAAATCACTATACACCATAGAAAGATCATCTGTGAAAATAGATAGTTTATCTTCTGTGAGTTTTACAATCCAGAACAAAATTTTCTACTTACTGTGGCCAGCACTGTTAAAATTTCTTAGCCCTTAAACGTGTTTGCCATTGTAATTTTTTCTTTCAATATTGCCCTTTTTCTTCTCATAATCCTTTCCCTTTCAACTACCTCTGTAAAATACTAATTTCTTCTTAAACCATTTCAGTTTTTCCAGTGCTTTACCATAACCTTACTCTGGTTTTATCTCAGATAAACATTTTTTAAACTTTGTTACTTCACTGAGTACAGATTCCTTTATTTTCTTGTCCTTAGGAGCTGTCAATTTCTAATTGGGAAATTGTCAAAAGAAAATTTTATATAATCATTTACTTTTATATTTATATATTTATGTAATATTTTATAAATATTTAATATTTAAATATAAATATTTATTTTTTATTATTAACGAATAAATATTTAAATATTAAATATATTTAATATTTAAATATTTAATTAAATATATTCAATATAATATTTATAAATATTTATAAATTTATATAATAAATCATCTGCTTTATAAACAATTGTAGGATAACCTGTATAACAGCAAGCAAAAGCTTTTCTAAGAAAAATGGTCTTTACTCCACTATGTCATGATTTTTTGGTTTTTAGAGAAGGAAGATATGTTAAAGTATTCTGAACGTTTTTTACTTTTTAGGCCTATTCTTTAGTGGATCGTGAGGTTGGTTACTGTCAAGGAAGCGCTTTTATAGTTGGATTGTTGCTTATGCAGGTAAGTTAGTACAAGTATTAAATGTCTGATTAAGTTCTTTATTGAAGTTGGATTAGAGAATTTAAAAATCATCCTTGTTTTTATTTAGCATTAGATAGTGGGAATTTTTCCCTAGGCATAATTTAAATAGGGATATTTAGTTTGCTGTTTAAAATATTTAAAGTGTTGAAAATAACATATAAACAATAATATCCTGCTACTAAACAAAATTTCAGCTTCTTGGTATCTACATTTGGACCATAATATTCCACTAAAGCCTGTATCTACTTTTAAATCTTAACTTATATGTCAATATTTAATAAAAACTCATCTTTTCCAAACCAAGGAGGACATGACTGAAGTGTTGGTATAAAAATCTTACTGGTATCATACATCTTTGCAAATTTACACAGAAATTTTGGTTGTCATAGAGTTGAGAGCTTGTTATGCCTATCTTGTTATAGGCTCTAAAATAGAGATCCTCAGTTACTTTTACTGTCCCAGAGATATAACCTATATTTCCATTACAGGCGAATAATTTTGGAGTGGGTTTGGGTGGGTTGTTTTCAGAGTCAGGGACAGGGTCATCGGTTTATTTCTTAGAAGGGAAATGGCAAGTAGTGTTTTCTTTTCACCTTTGTTGAAATTTTTTTCTCAAGTCCATCATATTCTATATTATTCTCACACTAAAATGTAATCTGAAGAGAAACCTTGGAGATAGCTTGATTTGAGTCATGTATATATATATACGTGCTGGTTTTTGCATCTCAATACTGTCCTGAATTCTTTGAATGTGGACTAGATTATTTAATCTCTCTCTGAGCTTTAATTAGGTAATACTCTCTACTTTAAGATTCATTGTAAGGTCTTATGAGATAATAAATATAAAAACCTATTATGATGTTTGCCACATAGTAGACATGCAATAAAAGTTCAGGGACTTGCCCAAGATCACTTTTCTTAGTAGATAAAAGCAGAGTAGGAATCTGAAACTCTTCCCTTATACTTTCTTCAATTTCCCAACAGTTTTGAGTTTAAAGCTCTGTAATTGTCACACTACTTTTCTGAGTAAAAAAACCTGATGTTAGAGACACTGATGTCAGATGTCCATTTCTAGGTGACACTGGATTGTAAATAATAAAAACAAAACGAGATTTGTTAATATCGAGGTATAAAGGTTTTGTACAATTGTGATTTTTCCTAATTTGGAATTGATTAATATTGGTAGGATTTTTACTGTTGAACTCAAGCATTCCTATTATCAGTCCAGTGATTTTTTTTCTATAATTCTATGCCTTTTACTTTCATATTAGCTCCAAAATAATCTTTCTGTAGTCATTTCTATTGAGGATTTAAAGAGCAGTTTTTGGGGCGCTTGGGTGGCTCAGTGGGTTAAAGCCTCCGCCTTTGGCTTGGGTCATGATCCCAGGGTCTTGGGATCGAGCCCTGCATCGGGCTCTCTGCTCGGTGGGGAGCCTGCTTCCCTCCCTCTCTGTCTCTGCCTGCCTCTCTGCCTACTTGTGACCTCTGTCTGTCAAATGAATGAATAAATCTTAAAAAAAAAAAAAAATAGCAGCTTTTCCTTACCTGAGTTAGGAATCTCAAATCAGCAGACCTAGCTCTGTAGGAATCCTCAGGAGCGATCACATTTTCCTTCAGGATACTGTAGGCTGGTAGTGGTTCTTTTATTTAGTGATGAATTTACTTAGCTAGTATGGTCAGTGGCAGCTAATACATTACCATAGTAATAATTTTCTAGCCCAGGGTTATAAGCTAGAAAGCATGGTGCAGCCAGATTCAGAAGCACCCCGTCTTTGTTTCTAAAGCTTATTCTGTTATACCCTTTGCTGTATTGCCTCTAACAGCTTGGCTACACAACTTGGAGTCTGAGAAAAATTTTTTGCAAAGTTAGTGTAATTAGTACACGTTGTTTTAAAATAGCTAAAAGTGGGGGCACCTGGATGGCTCAGTGGGCTAAAGCCTCTGCCTTCAGCTCAGGTGTGATCTCAGGGTCCTGGGATTGAGCCCTGCATTGGGCTGTCTGCTCAATGGGGAGCCTTCTTCCCTTCCTCTCTCTCTGCCTGCCTCTCTGCCTACTTGTGATCTCTGTCAAATAAATAAATAAAATCTTTAAAAAAAATAAAATAGCTAAAATTGCTGGATATATGCTGTGTGTGTGTGTGTGTGTGTGTATTTTTTTTTTTCCTAAGGTTCATTTGTTTATTTAGAGCTAGGAGAGGTGTGGCAGAGGGAGAGAGAGCGCATAAGAGGGGAGAAGTCAGAGGGAGAAGCAGACTCCCCGCTGAGCAGGGAGCCCAGGACTCCAGGATCATGACCTGAGCCAGAAGCAGTTTCTTAACCAACTGAGCCATCCAGATACCTGCTTTGTGTATATTTTAATACTCCTATAAAATTAGGTATATTTTTGTCCCTGTTAGACCTTTGCAAAAGGCATGGATTCTTGTTAAGTCAGCGTCTTGGAGAAAGTATGTAGTAGTGCAATTGATGTGAGATTCAAGGGCCCAGATTCTAAAAGAAATGAGTGGCTATAAAACAACTAGGTGATTGTTCTTCATATTTATATTTTACTTGGTGTCACACTTTTTCATTTTGCGACCATTGTTTCAGTCTTTTTGAGAATGGCCCACTGATTTTTTTTCTTTTTAGGGCTTTTATTCAATTACTTCAACTTACTTTTTAAAACACACTGTCAGTTCCCATATCAGTACTATTGCAGAGGAGGAAGAGAATGAAACTTTTTTTGATATGTTCCGAAAAGAAAAATTTCTTATAAGACAAAAAAATTTATATTCCCACTGTGACGAGAATGAAGGGTGGTAGGGGCAGAATGCAAAGGGGAAGATAGTGGGAGGAGAAGAGGTTAGAGAAGTAGTAAGGGGTCATGTAATGTAGGATCTTGTAAGGATTTTGGCTTTTACTGAGGATATGAGAAGCCACTAGAGTATTTTGAGCAGTAGAGTGAAATGATCTAATTCATGCTTTGAAAGGATCACTCTGGCAGCTCCACGCTGTATGGGGAATAGACAGTTAGGAAGGAAGCACAGGGAGGTGGCAGCATGCCCCATGAATAATGTAGGAAAAATAACTGGGTTCAAAGCCAACGGCCAGGAAAGAATTGTTGAGATGTCTTTGGTACAAAAGATGGTTTTATTAAAACACAGGAACGGGACCCATGGGCAGAAAGAGTTGCACTGGGGTCATGAGGAGTGGCGCATTGTATACTTTCAAGTTGGGAGGGGTTAGGGATAGTGTAAGTCTCTAAGGAATTTTGGAAATAAGGTTTCCAGAACCTTGAGGGGGCTAGCTTGTTGAAAGTTTTCACATCTCACGTCTCAAATGTCCACATCCTTTCAGTGGCTTCTAAAACCCTATGTAATTTGGTTCCCTGTATTTCTCCTTCATAACCTAACCGCCACTTGTAGAATTCCTCCTAATTAGTAGTCTCCTATTTTCTGTTCCTTAAACATGCCAATTGTGATTCTACTTCAAGGTCTTGTGTTATTCATTCTCCCAGCACTGTTCTTTCCTTAGTTGCTCCCTTTTTCCTCAGTTGCTCCCTTATTTCTTCATTATTCTGTTCAAGTGCTTTCTTATCAAGGGGCTTTCCTTAATCTGCCTACATAAGTAGCAGTGTATTTTCCAGCATTTCCTGTTACCCTACTCTGTTTTATTTCTGTAGCACTCAAAACCATCTGGCTTACATATTAATTGATTTATTACATGTATTGTCTCTCTACCCCCGGTAGGATGTTCGAGTTCCATGAGGGTAAAGTGTTTATTTTGTTCACTGGTCTGTACCCAGAACAACAGAAGTATCTGGCTCTAAATGAATATTGGTTGATTGAATTCATGAGTTGGGCAAGTGAGGCAGTTAGTCTCACAGGATATAAGATTTGTTTGACTTCTCATTCTAAGAATGGGAGATTAGAACCTTTTGATTCCTCCTTCATTGTTCTTAACATTGTATCACATGGCCACTGAAAACAGTGTTTATATAAAGATGAGGGGTACTTAGTTTAAATAGAATTTAGCTTATTTGTGTATCACAGAACATTAAGCTGTTTGCCTTTTTTTTCCCCTCCTAATGTAGATGCCAGAAGAAGAAGCTTTCTGTGTATTTGTTAAATTAATGCAAGATTATAGACTTCGTGAACTTTTTAAACCAAGTATGGCAGAATTGGGGCTTTGTATGTACCAGTTTGAATGCATGATACAGGTAAAATTGTAGTGTTAACAAAAAGGCATATTGCCTTTATATTTGCATCATCTTGGTTTGAGTGACAACTAAGCAAATTTAATGTTAAAAGCATTATAGCAATTGAAAAATTAGTGTTTTAATCATGTGATCATTTGTTGATTGGTTAACACAGTAGGCCTACTTTCCAGTTAGATGCTGTTTGCGAGTAGATCACAGTCTGGAACTTGACTGCAGTTTTCATATTCAGACTTTAAGCATTTGTGCCAAACCTATCACAACCACATTGCCTAAATGCATGAGTTTCCTTTTTATGCCCTATTGTATTCTATTGTTATGTAGACTGTGCTGTCATAGGAACTCATGACATGACATTGACATCCCTTAATTTCCTTTGAGACTTGTCTGTTCTGGTTCTTTCAGTCATTTCTCCTGCCTTTCCCTTTTTATCTCACTCTTTTGCTAGCCTGTAATCTTTTCTTAAAATAAGGCTTTTACGTTGCTAGTTTAAGACCGCGAGTCTAGTGACTGTGTGAGGGTGTATAGAAGAGGAGGAGAGGAATCAAAATCAAGTGAAAAATATTTTTTGCAATATTTTGCCCTTCTGGAGTTAATTTACATATATATGTAGTAGACTAAGATATATATATTATTAACTAATACATATATATTGTATAAATTAGCTTACTGTATTATCTGGTAATATAGTGGTATAAATATTTTCATTTACTTAAATTTCAGTTAAATAAGCAGAACTTTAAGAATTTGGGTTAATGATTCAGCTGACATAAGGGCTTTTTACATTTTACAAGTCTCCTTTCCCGGGGCAGCCTTACCTATAAGAATTTCAAAATCCTTACTTCTGTATGTGTCGGCGGGGGGGGGAAAGGGATATGCAAAATGTTGGCACATTTTAAAGAAAATGACAAAGTAGGTCTTGAGATGATTCTTAGTTAAGTTTTTCTTTCTGAAATGGTAGGATTTTTAAAAAAAGATTTTATTTACTTATTTGAGAGAGCGCGCGAGTGCGCATGAGGAGTGGGGAGGAGTAGAGGGAAAGGGAGAAGCAGACTCCCTGCTCAGCAGGGACCTCATTGTGGGACTGGGAGTTCAGACCTGACCTGAGCTACCCAGGCACCCATGTAGGCTCATTTTTAACCAACCTTAATCTCTCTTGGTTTATTTTCAGTTAATGTGTCATTTTTGTTTTGAATTATTAGAATTGAGGAAGCATCTGTATTTCAGGTGAGAGGGTAGGAGGGTAAGGATAGGTAATCAAAGGTAGGTAGATAGTACCTGAAAGTATTTGAGCATAGCATTTCCTTCCTTTAAAAACTTTTTTGGAATAATTATAGTTTATAGAAAAGTATTGAAAATATCAAACACCCATGTTCCTACCAACATGATCAAACAAATATTAAAGTTTTATTTACTTGTTTTGTTATTTTTATTAATAAATGTTACAGGTACAGACTAAGTTCTAACTCCCCTTCCCTTCCCCTGATACTAACCATCATCCCGAATGTATCAATTTCTGCATCTTAACTTTTCCAAGTGATGCCTGATCTTTGTGTTTGGTATAGGCTTATCTAGTGTACACAGAGTAATCTGGTTTAAAATGGTCAATCTTACTGTGTTTTAATTAATTCTTTTCTTCTCTTTAGGAACATCTTCCAGAGCTCTTTGTGCATTTTCAGTCTCAGAGTTTTCATACCTCAATGTATGCATCATCCTGGTTTCTAACGATCTTTCTTACGACTTTTCCATTACCAATTGCAACAAGGATATTTGATATCTTTATGTCTGAGGTAAGCTAATGGTTAGGCTGAGCAAAGGAATCATTGGGTTAATCATTAGTGCAGGGCAGTGAGGAGAGCAATAAAGGCTATCCATGTGTTCCATACTAAACTACTTACTGGATATTCTCCTTTAAACCTGTAACAACTCTATCAAGTACTGTTAGTACATTTAATAGATGAAAAATGAGGAAGCTGAGACTTAGAGGAAGGTTGAATAGCTTGTCTGTGGACACACAGCACATAAATAGTGTAGTAACCATTGTTCAAATACAGGCAGTCAAAACCTGGAGCCTACACTCTTTTTTTTTTTTTTGACTGACAGAGATCACAAGTAGGCAGAGAGAGAGGAAGGGAAGCAGGCTCCCTGCCAAGCAGAGAGCCCAATGCAGGGCTTGATCTCAGGACCCTGAGATCATGACCTGAGCACCTCTGCAGAGGCCTTAACCCACTGAGCCACCCAGGCATCCCTGGAACCTACACTCTTAAACCTCTGTATCACCTCCTGATTGATTCAGTGAGAATTAGTAAAAAGTGAAATTTGCCTTACAGCTAATATGATTGCTCTGCCTCTATTACCGAAAGAGCAAGAAGTATGGAATATAATTAAGTTTCTTCTACTTAATTATATTGCAGGTAGTCCTTTTAATTGTCATTGTCATGTTGTGATCATCCTTTGTCTTTTATTCTGTATTTTGGATGAGAAGGTAGGCAGGTAAGGTTAGGTGACAAACAGTAAATAGCATTTGAAAGTGTTATTAATTATTACTAATAATGGCTGGCTGGCTCAGCCAGGAGAGCATGTGACTCTTGATCTCAGGGTCTTAGAGCTTACTTAAAAAAAATAAGTAAATACATAAATACATAAACACATAAATAGAACATCTTAATCAAACCCACTGTTAATTTTGTTAATCACATCTTGGGAAGATTAGGTTATATTAACTAGTTAAATTAGTTTAGTTTGGAGCCAGCAAACTGTGATTTGTGTACTGACCATCTGGTTCAGGTACCAAATCTGTCCTTCGACTTATTTTTGTAGTTTTCTTGGAACATAGCCATGCTGATTTTTTGTGTTATCTCTATCTGCTTTTGGTCTTAGTTGGATGTTTATGACAGTAACCACATAACCCACAAAGCCTTTAATATTTGCTATCTGACTCTTTACAAAAAAAGTTTGCCAGTTTCTAGTAAGATCCCTAAATGTTTACCTTAGTATTCTTTTGAATGATTAATTTTTGTCGATGGAAGAGTAAAATAAATTTGGCTTTATAAAAATGTGTTTCCACAGGGTTTAGAAATAGTGTTTCGAGTAGGATTAGCACTTCTTCAGATGAATCAGGCAGAACTGATGCAACTTGACATGGAAGGGATGTTACAGGTAGGTCAGTTCATGATTCCTTGAGTGTCTTCAGATTTTACTGTTAATTAGTTAATAATAAATAACTGAGTTTATAATTATATAAATAACTTTATGTATTTATGTAAATGTATTTATATAAATTTATGGTTATATAAATAAGTTTATAGTTAATAATAAATAACTAAAACACTAAGTAGTTCTTGTACTTTTCTTTGATTGTGTTTTATTAGCACTTTCAAAAGGTCATTCCACATCAGTTTGATGGTGGTCCAGACAAATTAATCCAGGCAGCTTACCAAGTCAAATATAACTCAAAAAAAATGAAAAAGTAAGTATTTTATAATTTTGGTGTTTAGTCATGGTTATTTGTTGAAGCATATAGGAGAATAAATAGAAGTATCAAAATAGTCCAGTGATAAGTACAGTATTCTTCCTCAGTTTATAGAACAGTAGAACTTTATTTGGTGGTACTGGTTTCAGTAAAACATAAATTTAATGTTAGAATTTTGCACATCTCTTGGTAGTGGTGCTTGGGACCATTATGTATTACCTGTGAAACTTCTCTTTCCCATTCTACATTGACTGGAATTAGGCACCTGGTAAATGTATAGCTGTGATTGTACTGTTATTTATTTATTTTTTTTAAAAAAAGATTTTATTTATTTATTTGACAGACAGAGATCACAGGTAGGCAGGCAGGCAGAGAGAGAGAGGAGGAAGCAGGCTCCCCACTGAGGAGAGAGCCTGATGTGGGGCTTGATCCCAGGACCCTGGGATCATGACCTGAGCTGAAGGCAGAGGCTTTAACCCACTGAGCCACCCAGGTGCCCCGATTGTGCTGTTATTTTGAAAACCACTTCTGTGGTGTGATCCAACTTCACTGACATTCTTTTCTGCTCAGCCCCAGAGTGTCACTTAAGTTCAGGATTAGCCTAACCAACAAGATAAGCATGAGGCATAGATTGAAAGTTTAAGTTTTTATTTTATTGTGTATTATTTTCTTTCTTTCTCTTTTTTTTTTAAGATTTTATTTATTTATTTGACAGAGATCACAAGTAGGCAGAGAGGCAGGCAGAGAGGCAGGCAGAGAGAGAGGAGGAAGCAGGCTCCCCGTTAAGCTGAGAGCGCAATGCGGGGCTCGATCCCATGACCCTGGGACCATGACCTAAGCCAAAGGCAGAGGCTTTAACCCACTGAGCCACCCAGGTGCCCCTGTGTATTATTTTCTAATGAAACTTTTCTTGATACATATTTAATCAAAGTTCAAGGTAACCGGTCTTGGCTCCCAAAGATTAATTTTTTGAAATGTTATAAAGGTATTAAGAATGACAGCTCTTGTTCCTCCAGTTTCCAGTATTTAAACAAATCTTAGCCAGAGGTCATAATTACTATTCCTGACACTACTTTCTGTGGTACAAGATACTTTAAAATGATAGCAATACTATATGCTAACATTTCTCAATATCTTCACTGCTGTAACATAAAATTCCATTCAAGTGTAACACATACCCCCATGGATGTTCGTACCCAAGGAAGTATATTAGAATATGAGTGATAATTATGTTATTAAAATTAGCTCTAGCAGGACCTGGGTGGCTTATTCTGAGGTTAAGCGTCTGCCTCTGGCTCAGCTCCTGATCTTGGGGTCCTGGGGTTGTGCCCCGCATCAGGCTCTCTGCTCAGCAGGGAGTTTGCTTCTCCCTCTGATCCTCCTCCCCACTTGTGCTTGCTGTCTATCTCTCTTTCAAATAAATAAATAGAATCTTAAAAATAAATAAAATTAGCTCTAATTTGCAAAAGCAAGCCAATTTATGGGCTTTCACTCTTATTAATGAATTACTTGTGAACTTTTTAAATTACATTACACTATGATTTTGAGACATTATTGACCAAAAAGCAATTCTGTTCTATAATTGATAAAACTTTTAGGAGCCATGTCAACTTCCAGCTCTTGGTAAAACCACATTTAAATCACACTAGCCAAAAAAAGAATTTATTTCACTTCAATTACAGAGAACAACATAACTGATTTTCCTTTTGGATTTTATTTATCACTAGTATAATCCCATTTCTGAAATTTTAGTTATTGTATTTACTTTTCAAACTTACGACTCTCTAGTTCTTTCACTTTCATTCTCATACAGTGTCTCTGTTCCAGTTTATGATCTCTACTCTGGTGTTAAATAGCCTTCCTCTGATCCAAATAAGTATACCTTGTCTGATGTCTTGCACCCTGTGTTCATGTAGCCAGGTGTTGGAGAAAATTGCATAAACAAATTGCTGGCATTAAGTTCTATCTCCATTGCCACTTCATGTATATTTTTATTGACCTTGGTTAATTCTCCCATTCCCCATGGTGATTATTTCAAACTTTGTCATTTTTCCCAGATTCTGTCCCATTTTGTCCTCTTTGGCAGGTTATTTTTTTTTAATTTTTATTTTTTTTGTTATTTTGCTTCTTAATTCATCAGCCATCATTTTTCAAGCACTCTGAACTTCTCCTATGACTTCCAGCTTACAGAGTTAGCCATATTTCTTTTTTTTCCCTTTTCAGAATATAGTATATCTATGCCTTTACAGGGTTAATTCAGGATGTTGTTTCCATCTCTTGCAGGTCTTTCCTATACTAGCTGTTTCTACTTCTATCTTCATCCCTTCTTTCTGTTTCATTTTCTTCAGTGTACAAAGGTATTTTTGAGTTCTGACTTAAAAACAAAATAAAACCTACCTCAACATAGCATTTCATTCTTCTTTTATGAAACTCAGTTGTGAAGGAAAGAATAGTATACTCATTAGCTCCACATCATATTCCATCTGCTATTTTTTTTTTTTTTCATTCGGGACATTTTTCAAATATACAGAGAGACACTGGAATAAATCCATAAATATCCATTTATCATCAGATTAAACAGTTAATATTCATCTTTTTAAAGTTTTAATTCTTTTTTTTTTTTAAGATTTTATTTATTTATTTGACAGAGAGAGATCACAAGTAGGCAGAGAGAGAGAGAGAGAGAGAGAGGAGGAAGCAGGCTCCCTGCCAAGCAGAGAGCCCGATGTGGGACTCGATCCCAGGACCCTGGGATCATGACCTGAGCCAAAGGCAGAGGCCTAACCCACTGAGCCACCCAGGCTGCCCCTAAAGTTTTAATTCTGATATAGTTAACACATAGTGTTAGTTCCAGGTATGCAGTATAGTGATTCAACATTAATATTTTGTCATTTACTTCATCTACTTTCAGACCCCCACCGAATCCTCTCTTTTGTCCACTCCCTACCCCTCACCTCCTGGGTTTTGGATCCACTTTAAGTACTCCAGGATCATGTATTGCATTAATTGTGTCAGATCAATCTCCTTTAATCTCAAGCACTCCCTCCACTCTTCTTGTATGTCTTGATATATTTGAAGAGTATAAGCTAGTTATTTTGTGGAAGATCCTGTAGTTTGGGTTTTTCTGACATTTCCTCGTTGAGTAGTTTTAGGTTGTACTTTTTTGGCAGGTACACCAATGATGTATCTTCTCAATTAACCATGCAGTAGGTATGTGCCACTGGTTAATCTCAGAATTGATGATGATATCTCTATAATCACTGGGTTAATAAGGTGATGTCTGCCAAGCTTAACTACTGTAACGTTATTACTTTGTCTATTATTGTTTGTTTCCAGATGCTTTGAGATTATATAATATCTTGTTCCTTACCACATCTTCCCTCACCAGATTTACATCCACTTATGATTTTCTCACTCTCTCATTCCTTCTTTATTAATTGGCTTTCTACTGTAAGGAAGAGCTTTTCCTTTTTGCTAATATATTTATTAACTTATTTATATAAGTGTGAATTTGTAGGCTCTTTTTTTATTTGGTGAACTATAATTCATTACTTTCCATTTGTCCCTGCTTTGTCCAGTAGGAGTCCTTTCAAGCTGACTGTTTTGTCCTTTTGACATGTCCCCATGATTCTTTGAGAATTTCCTTATTTTAAGACAACAAAAAGCTCTAGGATCATCTTATGCCTTACCTGCTCCTGCACAGGAGCAAATCATTTCTCCAAAGAGCCTTGATTTCTTTTAGTAAGCCTTTAAAATGCAGCCTGAAGGTAATGGATAGACACTGAAGCAGTTGGCCTCTGGGAGTGGTATGATCCAAATCAACATTGTAAAAATGTCATCCTGGCAATAGTGTGCAGAAAAGATTGAATTATGAAACTGGCAGCAGAGAGAACAATTAGGAGTATCCTCTGGTAATTAAGGCAAGGTATAATGAAGGCCTAAAAATGCTGCCAATAAAAGAATGGTGTAGCTCTATAGCTACTTTGAAGTCACTTTGTAGAAACCTTATAAGCACACCTTGGCCCACTGATCAAGGTCAATATATCAATAGTGATATCCTGGTGATAATTTGTACCCTTGATACAAATGATCAAATGAAAATGGGACTGAAAATGGGACTGACTTCTGTGGTCTTCCTCTAAACCCAAAACCTCAATACAGTCACAAACAAACATAAGAGAAATCCCAACTGAGGAATATTCTTCAAAATATCTGGTCAGTACTCCTCAAACAATCAAGTTCATCAAAAACCTGGAAAGTCTTAGAAATTATCACAGCCAAGAGGAGCCTAAGAAGGCGTGGCAACTTAATGTAATGTGATTCCCTGGATGGAACCCTAGAATAGGAAAAGGACATTAGATAAAAATTTAGAGATATGAATTTAGTATGGACTTTAGTTAACAGTGTATCAATATTAGTTTATTAATTGTTACAAATGTACTATATAATGTAAAATGTTAAACATAGGAGAAACTGGGGACAAGGTATATGGGAACTCTTTACTCTTTTTACTTATTTTGTAGGTGTAAAACTCTTCTCAAAAAACAAAGTTTATTAAAAAACCTCTATCAGTACAGTTGAAGGAGGAATAATATATTTTAGAGCATAGTTAAGAAAGTTGAATTGAATGTGGTTGGTGACTGAATTGGGAAGCAAGGATTAAATGATGATTTCTAGTATTTTGTTTTAGGCATATGAGTGAGTAATGATTACATTTATCACCTACACATAACAAAATATTCACTTCAAAGTAGGCACTAGTGAAGACTGTAAACTTCCAGCAGTATAGCCATTGTTCAAAACATTTTGTACCTCTTTAGAGTCTTCTATAAACTTTTTAGGATGTGCTATCCTTGTAGGTATACTAAAATAAGAGACATAGTAGTACAGCAGTCAAGGGTGTGACCTTAGGCAAGTTTCTCAATTGTTCTTAGCCTCCAAATTGGCATAACAACCTGCATTAAAAAGTCATATTTGAGGGAGGATTGTGGGAAGAT